ATTAAATAAATTTAACATATTATTAATTAAATATATATAACATCACATATAAATTTTTAAATAAAAAAATTAAATAATAATGAACCATGTTATAAATTTATAACTTTTTGAATCTATATTCTTATGACATTTATTAAGTGTATTTTTTTAGTATAAAAATCTATAAAAAATATAAAAATTGATATTAATTTTAATATGAATACCAAATAATTAAATTTAATTAAATAGTTAATAATTAAATATTAATTTTATTTTTTAATATAAATTTATAAAAAATATATTTAATATATTTTTGATCTATATATTAAAAACATAAATTAGAAAAATTCATAAATTTATAATACTATATAACATTCTATATATATCATTTTTGATATAATTAGCCTTCCTTATTTGGAAAAAAAATCTGTGTAATATTGGATAAATGGATATTATAATCTATCTTATGCACAATTCTAACTAAAAAAATAATTTTAAGGTAATTTTTTTATCTCATTTTTTTATATAATTAAATATATCATTGAAATTATTAATTTTTTTAATTTATATAAAACTTATAATATTAAATACATTCATTTCTTTAATAATATATAAAAATTATATCTAACAATTGTATAAAAAAATTATCATATACACCCTTTTCTCCCCTTCTCTTTCCTTAATCTTGTTGCCTTCTTAAAGTCGGTGTCTTTACAGCACAGTCGATCAACCGTGACAGACCCGACAGCGTCGTAGAAGCTTAGGAAGGAGAAGAAATCAATCTGAGTTCATTGCATCGTCAAGATGTCACTTCCAATTGGGTGAGTTTCAGGTTCTTCGCTTCAACCGCTTTTATTGTTTCCGGTTACTTAAGTCTCAATTTTGATGCTTTGATGAACGTGGTTAGTTTCACTTGTGTCTTAAGATTGTTTCCTGGGTTTTCACAAGCATTAGATATGAAGAGTATTCATATTGCTCAAGATGGTGCCCCAAGGGTGGCTCAACTGGCAGCCTGAGATTTCAATTTCAAGCTGGAGATCTCATGGTCGAACCTTGAGTTTCTGGGGAGGGCTTATCCTAGCCCATCATCAGATGTACAAGAAAATATTGCTCAAGATGGTGCTTGATTTTCCCCTTTTCTGACGTGGGTTTTTGATTGGTGTCAAATGAATTTTGTGAAGATCAGTAAATGGGTAGCTTTAGGTTCTGAATTTGTCAATATGGTTATCTAGTTTTTTCTTTTAGGGGGGTTCGTTAGAGGTGTCCGCCCTCTGTTGCATTTGAACAGCTAATCTAAACACCCCGTAGGATGAAAACCTTTGAGCGTATGGAGAGATTTGTTGATTACTTAATTGGGAAAATCTCCCCTGAAAAAGGGATATGAAAAAAAGTAGGTGTTGCTATGCTTCATCCCTGGGCAGCCTATACGTCATTTCTTTTGTTTTTCTTTTCATCTTAGATTGCTTATTGTAATTCTAGGCTGATGGACTCACTATAATGTGCTTATCACTTGTTTTGTGGACAAAAACTCTATCATCCTTTGCTTCTGTGATCTTATAAGTTGACCAAAATAAAAAATCCTTTGCTTTTGGCCTCCATAATTGCAATAGAACTATTTGGAAGAGTAAAGCAATAACAAGAATATTTGGTGTATATAAACAAAGTCATTTGCTCTTGTTTCTCTTTCTTTCTTTCTTCTTCTTCTTCTTCTTCTTTTTTCAGTAGCATAATATGTAAGGCGAAGCAGGATTCCCCATTTCTTCTCTCATTTATACCACTTGAGTGCTCAAGAATAATTCCTTGACATAATCCTGGGTCTGTTTACTTTGGTTTCTGTTCTTGCTGCAGAACAATGGACTTATCTACTCTGGATCGTGGGCAGATAACTCTGCTTGGTGCATCATTTTGTGTGGTGCTTACCTTGCATTTCACAGTGAAGCTCCTGTCACAACATCTATTTTACTGGAAAAATCCAAAGGAGCAGAAAGCCATAATAATCATTATTCTTATGGCTCCCATCTATGCTATTGACTCCTTTGTTGGTTTGTTGGACATACGTGGAAGCAAAGCATTCTTCATGTTTTTGGACTCAATAAAAGAATGTTATGAAGCTCTGGTGAGTACTCTTTCAACCAATTCTGCTGAGGTCTTGTTAGTTCTTTCTGTTAACTTTTGATTTTTGTGCATGTAGGTGATTGCTAAGTTCTTGGCATTGATGTATAGTTACTTGAACATATCCATAAGCAAAAATATTGTACCAGATGGAATCAAAGGAAGAGAAATTCACCATTCCTTTCCAATGACTCTTTTCCAGGTATGCAAGTGTAGTATGTTTCTGGTCTAATCCTAAGTTTTTTAAATCTAGATTGATGTATTTGTTACATTGTTGTTTCAAAAAGTACAGCCTCGTACAGTGCGGTTGGACCACCAGAGGCTAAAGCTCCTCAAATATTGGACATGGCAATTTGTTATCATCCGCCCAGTTTGTTCCATCTTAATGATAGTACTGCAACTTCTTGGGATCTACCCTTCTTGGTTAAGCTGGACATTCACCATCACACTAAACATCTCAGTTTCATTGGCCTTATATTCATTGGTACTCTTTTACCATGTCTTTGCAAAGGAACTAGCACCTCACAATCCACTTGCAAAGTTCATGTGCATTAAGGGGATTGTCTTCTTCTGCTTTTGGCAGGTAAAATCACATTCTACTCTCTTTTTTAACTAAAGCAATTGTTTATTTTGATCAGTAAGCTTAACTTGCCATAGAAGCTTGAGAGCATAGATGTTTTGAGCCCTAAACAAAGTTTAAAATATCCAAAAACAGTAAATAGAGGTGCTGCAGGAAGCTAAGCAAACCTACCTAATTGTAAGGGTGAGAAAACAATATTTGGCTTTCTAAGGAAAACATTGATGTCTATGGAAGGAGAATATTATTTCTTCAGGCTAGGGGAATGTATCTGTTGGTTGAGCCTAATCTAGGAATCATAATTAATCAAATGCAACGAACACTTGCTTATTCAGATTGGAATCCGCTTAAGAATTTCACAATGGTGCATACTAACCTATTGCATGTATGATTGTTGATTTGAATTTAGCAGATAATTAGCATAATCTGAATTTGTTAACTCCTTACATGATTGGACTTTCTTGCTTTCTGACAAGGGACATCAACTAATTTCAGAATTTAACATCCTAATTTTAAAACTTTAGAGTTTTCACTTCATAAATTTTGCAGGGTTTATGATTCATTTTATGCTAAAGACAAAGAAAACTGAGTCATTTTACAGAGTGCCACTTTCTTGAACATGGCATACGCTAATCACCTCTTAACAAAGGAAAGAAACACATGTTTCAATTTTCTTTAGTCTTTTTCTTGTGATCTCGAGACTTTGATGTAAAGTTCTTATTAGCCCGTGTCCTTATTTTAAATGCTGCTTTGGCACTTGCAGGGAGTTGTGCTTGACATACTAGCTGCATTGGGTATCATTAAATCTCATCATTATTGGTTGGATGTGGAACATGTTGAGGAAGCCCTTCAAAATGTTTTGGTCTGTCTAGAGATGGTGGTCTTCTCTGTCCTCCAGCAATATGCATACAATGTGTCGCCTTACAGTAGAGAAGTTGAATCAAAGTTCAAGCTGAATGAGAAAAATGAATGATGTAACCCCAGGAGAAGTACCAAAGGATGCATGTTCTTGCGAAATGTTTCCCCTAGTTGCTTTCATCCATTGATACTACAGAACATGCCATGGTGTTTGACATGCAGGAGGCTCCCAGAAATAGGAACAATCATATATTTATTTCTTAAAGAGTATTTTGAAGATGAGCTGTACATTACAAAATGGTACAATATGTTAGATTGCGCTCTCTAGCTTTATCCATAAACCCCAAGAACGAAGATTTGAATCTATGATCCTAGTTATTCGATTGATTCGGCTCGCGGCCTTCACTTTTTTTTAAGAATAATGGTAAATGAAATTAAAATTTAGAATAAAAATTTAGGATCAAAAACATGATATAAGGTACATTATTTAAAATTTTAAAAAATAAATATTATATTATTTAATAATTAATGTTTTTAAAATTTATAATATTATATATATCAATTAATTTAATTATAATACTTATAGTAGATAATTAATTTTAAATTTTCTTTTTAAATATTCATCATTCCTATTGTTACTATTACTCCAATCATGGGGTTTTGGGTTTTGTGAACATGGGTAATTAAAGGAAAGAGTACATGCTTAAAGATTTCAAGTCTCATATATGGGTTGCAAATTCTTAGGCTTTGACGGTGAAACGTTAGACTGCTTTAGCCAGCTCGTGTATGTAGTTCAGACTTCAATCATGATGTGTTATTTTATATTCTCTACTGCAAAATAATATATAAAATTCATGTACAAGTGTATTTTTATTTTTTGAGAAATTATTTAAATGGAAAATTAAATAATCTCCATTTTCATTTCCTCTGTTGATTGATTTCTGGTAACCAAACGGTGAGTAGGAAGGAAAAGGCGCCGCTAGAATAATAAAGCCACCAAAGGGAGAAGAAAAACCACCATAAAAGCGTGGGTACACGCCAGCCTCCAAACAGAACAAAACAAAGGGAAGAAAGTCAAGTAAAGAAACAGAGACGCCCTTTGCCGTTTCATATTTTCCTTCCTTCTTCTCCACACGGTCTCTCTCATCCCAAGAAAGCGCCTTTGCGAGGAAAGGAGATAGCTTTTACAGCAAAAGAAGGTCTTTTCTGGAGGCAACCCAGAGAGAGATTCTGCACCACCATGAATGGGAAGGCTAGCGTTTCAAAAGAACAGAATGATAGGCACAGGAAGGTTGGTCTTTAGATTTTTCAAAGTTTTTGTATTTGGTTCATTACCCAGTTCTGCTTAGTTATTATCATGCAACTTCAGTTACATGGTTGTAACCATTGATTTCTTTTATGATCTTTGTTCATATTCACTTAGACTTTTCTGGGATTTAAATTAGATGAGGTGAATAAATATGGGTTCTTGTTGGTTGATTGTTTATTCTTATGTCGATCATAACGTGGTTAATTTCGTTTAATTTCTTTTTCTTTTCGTTGTAACTGAAGTGGGTTCTTTTATCTCTGTTGAATGAATGTATGTAATCTATCTGAAATTTTCAGAGGCTTTCTTCTGAAAATTTGGGGTCCCTTATCTTAACTGGAAAAACTAGCGTAATAAACTACTCCATATTTTTGCGATTTATCTTATGCTGTTCGTGTTAGTTTTCTGGTGAAAGAAAAGTTGTATGTTGATTAATTAGCTGTCAAAGGTGTTTAGGGATGCCAGGGTGTGCGGTATCAAGGTCAACTTTAATAAATTTATTGCAACTCATCAAGAAGTTAGTTATGGGCATGAAGCTTTTGTTTTATGAATCGCCATAACAGCTATCTAATTTCTGAGCTGTCGAACATGTATATAGTTGGTGTCCTACGCCAACTCTATGTATCTTGCCCAACTGTGCACTGGCACACTGTGCTCCACCTAAATCTTTTGAATGATGTGTCATGTGTGATATTTATACGAGCATGAATATGCTAATTGAAGGTTTTAACCCATCTGTGTATCCTTTGTTGCTTTTGAATCATAAAATGCATTTAAATTTGGAGAGTTTCTTTCTACCTCAAATACAGAAATATGAGAACACCACTCCCTTTGCTGTTACTCTCTCTAGGAATGAGATGCATTCAGTAAAGTTTTTGCTGCTGTTAATTTTGTTTGGAAGAGAAATTGGAATGCCACATTGTCTGAAAGACAATACTGTCTCTTGATAATAAGATTACTTACACACATTCATATTCTTTGGATGTTGAATGCAACCTTTTAGTACGTCATACTGAGACATATGATTTGGTTTTCTGCAGATATTGGAAGGTCTACTTAAGTTGCCAGAGAATAGAGAATGTGCTGACTGCAAAAGCAAGTAGGTACTCCGCACCAGGACAAATGTGTGATATTGTCTATGCTTTAGAGGAAAGGAAATGAGTTTTCAAATTGTAAGCTGGGAAAGTAGAGAAATTGTTGAATGACGATTTTCATGTTTTCTGTGGAGTATTGGTTTCCTATTCATGAAAGAAGATTTTCATGTTTACTGTCGAGTATTGGTTTCCTATTCTCATCCTAGTTTTTATGGTGTAAGGGATTTGACACAATTATGGTTTTTCCACTATTCAGGGCACCACGATGGGCTAGTGTAAATCTGGGAATATTTATATGCATGCAATGCTCAGGGATCCACAGGAGCCTTGGAGTACACATATCAAAGGTTGTTTATTTTTCATTTTAACTTTGACCAATTACATATATTCCTCTTGAGCCCCCAGAAATGGTATGATTAATTAAAATTTTGGAATCTTTATAACAATTTTTTTTGCACTGGATAATTTGATGCAGGTTAGGTCTGCTACGTTAGATACTTGGCTCCCAGAGCAGGTTTCATTTATTCAATGTAAGCTTCCTACTGATTTCTCTGAACCATTTCTATTCTCTGTTCAGTGAGCTCGATTCAATCTCAAAACCAGGGCAGTTATAGTAATCCTTTTCTCTGTTTCTCACAGCTATGGGGAATGAGAAAGCAAATAGCTATTGGGAAGCAGAGTTGCCTCCCAATTATGACAGAGTTGGAATTGAGAATTTTATTCGCACAAAGTATGACAGTGTAAATGTTAACTTTCTGAACTTTTAACCTTTGCTTGATTCCTCTACCATTGCTTTATCAGCAATAGCCTTATTATCAGATGACAGTCAATGATGTTAACTATCTATCAGGTACCAAGAGAAGAGATGGATTCCTAGAGATGGAAAATCAGGATCACCTTCAAGGGTGAGTGAGGAGAAGACATCACTTCATAGACCAGTACCAGGAAGAAGTGGCCATGGGTACATGAATAGCATAAATCATGTTTCTAAGGAGAGAAAGGTTACTCACCCACCCATTACAAATAACACCATTCCTGCTACCAAAAGTTGCTTGTCAGTGCCTGTTGAAAGATCCCAGAAGGTAAGTACAGATTTCCTTCAACCTTATTTGAATCATCATCAGTATCTACGGTATCTTGGCACACTTCATAATATACTTATTCTATCAGTCTGTCAATCATAGAACTTTCAAATGACACTAAATAGAGTGCCTCAGTTGTTTGCTTTACCATTAGTTTGACACATCTAAAATTTCAAATCAGTAAATTCACTAATTAAATATTGGCATCTGGTGGTGGAGAACAGTACATGTAGTATTGTATGTTGAACATGTCAATATAAATGGACTGATTTTCTTGATCTGCAGGTTATATCTGATCCAAGACAACAAGAGCCTCTGCAGAATAAAGAACCATCAGTCTCAAAGGCTGAGTCTGCAAAGCAGGAAGCTAATAATGTGCCAGGAGTTGTATCACACCAGGAAGTTAATATTACCCCAGCAGTTGCACCAAGCAAAGTGGATTATGCCACTGAGCTTTTCAGTTTGCTTTCCGTGGATAATTTTGGAGATGATACCTTGAAGACCCCTTCTCATGATAATTTATCAATTGTTATGCAATGTATGTTTCTTACCATATTAATGCTGTCGAACCAACTAATGCTGACTTTAATGTCTTCTTTATCTGCCTTGTCACTTTCTTTATCTTCTGCTCAGAGATGTCAAATATGGTTTTAAATTGGTTGTTATGTTGACATTCAAACCATCAAATTGCAGCTGCCAGTCCCAAATCTTGGGTAGAGGAAGGTGATCCATCAAACTCAAGTAAAAGCAATTTGCAAACCAAAAACAGTATTGAGGATCTATGTAATGATTCAGCAAAAGTAAAGCAATCCTTAGCAGAGAAACCCCAGGAAGATGTGAAAAATGATGTTATGAACCTCTTTGACAAGGTATACAACACTTTCTTGTTTACATCTGAAACCCAAACTTTAAGGATGGGTTCTGTTGATTATGATCTTTTTAACCATATAGTCTGATGGATTATATTCAGCCTACAAGAAATAAATTTTGGCAAAGGGTAATGATCTAATTTCATAGTTAGATCAGCTTGACATTGTTGTCCATTTTCACACTAAACAAAATGGAATGAAGAGTGGATACTAAAGTATCAATTTACTTTTTCAACCAAGAGTGTTTAAAAGTGGAGATTTACTACCCCAAATCTATGCTATGCTGTGTTTGTTAGTAAGAATAAGATGAACAATTGTTTTCCTCACAAAACTATTTTTTATCTGTATTATTTGCTTGTTTTTTGGTTTAAATTGAGAATGTGTGTATCTCTTAACATTTTCCTTATGAATGTGTTTGCAGTCTAGTACAGTGTCTCCAATTTATCAAGAACAACTTGCTATGCTGTGCCAACAACAGTCCTTCAATGTACCTGCGGCAGCAAATTCTAACAGCAGAATGCAGACCTTTCCTTTAAATGGAAATCAACTCAGCTCCAATGGTGTTCACTCAGCCACTCAGAATTGGGGAAGCCCTGGTCATCAAGTTCCTGGAATGATGATGTCCACAGCTGGTCTATCAAACCATATGCAGGTTAGTAAACTACTAACATTAGGCACATTTCCAGGTTGAAAAATCTTTCCTTTTAATTGTATGCTATTGTTTTCGGTACCAGATGGGAAGCAGACAACAGACATATCAACAACTACCAGGACAATCATTTAATCTTCCAATGACCAGGTGCCTAAATTCATGAATTCTTCTGCCTAGTCATCTCAAAGTTGCTTATTTCATATTTCATGTAACTAGTACCTGATTTGGTCAATGAATTTGTCTCTAAGAATTGATTGCCAAATGAATATTCACTTCGTAACTCAAGTTAGAGTATGTGAACATAATATTTGACAATCCATCAGCTCTGTGAGACCAAAACCTCATATTAATGAAAAGAGAGCCACCTAGCTGGGGGGTGGGGGGCAAGTTCTATCAGCATTTAGTTTCCTTTGACATGTTTCATTGATTACTTGTTTTGCTTTCCAAACAATTGCATGTCACTCATCATCACTTTCATTACAGCTTGTACACACCGGGACCAGTTCTTCCAAACAATGGAATGACAAATACCAGATCAATTAGGCCAAATTCATCCTCTCCCGTCCCTTCCCTGACTCCAATCCAACTTGGAATAAAAGATTACGACTTCTCAGCATTAACGCAAGGGATGTTTACCAAACGGTGATCAGGACTCATCCCTCCTCGACAAAACAAATAGTCTTTCTTCTTTTTACACACAAAAAATCTCAGGTAGTCATTTACAGTTGTTTTCTCTTTGAAATCCTTTTTTTTTTCTTTTAATTTAGATTTATTGGATAAGAACATTGGTTTCTTTGTACCACAATTTATTTGTACAAAAACAGTGTGCTGTTGCAATAAGAGCTTGATTCATGGCGTGAGTTTTTCATCTCATCATCATGTCCTCATTTTCATACTGTTGACTTTGGAATCTTAACTAACAAACTAACATGATCCACCCACCTCCTTTTTTATATTCAACAAATTTCTTTTAAAAAAATTATGTTTTAGCTGCATACCACACGTTAATGATTCTTGTTGACCAATGATTAGGCATCAGAGCATCGATGACAAATTAAATTTCTTCCTTAAACCTCATGAACTATATATGTTTTAGTTCTGCACCACGCGTCTTAATTGTATCATTGATCATGATCAAGGTTTGCCTAATCATGTTGGATTAGATCTCTTAATCTATGATTATGATATATTATGCAGGGAATGTGTACAAGGTTAAGCTTTGTCATGCATTAAATCAAGGCATAATATTCAACAAAAAAAACATCATTTAGGTAAGCTACCATGAGATAAAAGCATGAGATAAAAAGCTTGATTATATCTAGTTTTGAA